ATTGTTTGCTGCAGTCTGCCCACACTGACCAGAGGAGTGTGTTGTCTAGCAAAAGCCATTTATAGCCTGTGATGCTCTGCCCAGCTAGCAGCAAACGTCCGAGTGGCTTGGGGCTGTTGATCAGGAAATACAGAAGGGGATTCAAGGTACTGTGGAAAGGCTGGAGAGACAGGGAGGAAGAATGAGACCTGAACGCACTTTAATTCAAGCCTATGGGAAACCTGGTGCAGAACAGGGTTTACTGAGTTGCAAGTGGTCGAAGAATACAAGAATCTGTAATAAAAGGAGTTTTCTCGTGTCTGCCAAAAATCTGTAAGTGATAAGGATACATGGCTTCACTGCTGACACACAACTTCCAGTATTATACAAAGCTGAAAATAAATCCTTAATATGACTTTATGACCTTGAGAATCATGGACATTCTGAAAATAACTTTTTTTTTTTTATATATATGGCTAACAGAAAGAGTTCTTTCCACATCAAAACTTAGGTCATTAAGTTAAAACCTAGAAGGGATTTTCTTTTGAGTTTTCCAGCCTGAAACACTGAAAGACACTGAATACTGAAATTTTCAGTTTTGAAGGTGTGAGTTTCAGACAGTTCATCTGTGAAAGCAAGGTTAGAGAAATAAGTGTTTTTCAGTCTTAGAAGTTCATACATATTAATTGGTTACTCCAACTATAATGGTACACGTGCAGATTTTTAATGGAGTGGTATGGAGGTAAGATTTATTTGTAATGCAGCCAAGTTAATTTCAGTTACTTTGCTAATATGAGTAGGAAAGAGCATTAAACACAAAAGAAAAAATAATGACAAGAAAAACCATGTGAACAGAAAAACCTTTGCACTAATGCATATTTAGCATTTCAAACTGAGGTCAGACTTACAACAATAGCATCACAGACAATTCATAGAAAAATGTTAATACTTGAATCTAATGCTCCTAAACATTTTTAACCGTCATTGGTATTGATTCTTTGGCCAGTAGCATAAACACAATGGTGAACAATTCTCTTCAAGTCATAGTGCTTGTTTTTCTTGTAACTGCAAACAGACATAACATTTGTTAGCAAAGAAATACGGTGTTTTAAGTATTTAAAGGCAATGGTTACTTCACTGTGTTTAGAAGTGTTTCATACGAGGAAAATAAACAGACCTATTTCAAGTATCTGTCCAGGTATATTCAGCATAGATCAAGATGGTGAACTTCATAGCAAAGCAGTAATTATTTTTGGAATTGTAACCTTATATCATAACATTAATTCCCTTTCACTCTGAACAGTGGTTTTAGAAAGGGAAACAGGCATGCCACCACTAATCCTAGAAAGCCATTCACTTACTGGCGTACTAAGATGCAATTTTAATATGTGAGACTTCATACAAATGGTGAACCTTATAATGCTGAAGTTAAAGCTGTAATGATTTGGTTATTCTCTACCTATTTTTTATTAATCACTAATGAAAAAAAAAATCTCAGAAAAATTTGAAGCCCCCTGGCAGTAACCATTCATCTTCATAAATATTTGCTTGGAGTTTGACAGTTGATTGCTGTGTATGATAGTATGAAAGGCTTAGGGCTGTTCTAAAGTTTTGTTTCTGCTATCTTTTTTACAAATAATAAGCAGAAACATATGACCAGCCTTGTGAGCAATTTAGTTGTGTACACCAAGAAGTATTGCGGAGGTTGATCACAACATTCTATTGCTTTGTTCCTGTTCAGAGATAAACACTCCCAATGGGGAAAAAAGGCAAGCAAAAAGAGGGGTTGAGAAGTTACAGGTTGGGAATAGAGATCCTTGTCCAGCAGCCTTGGAGTTTTTTGCTCACTGGTGATTGTCATTGGAGAATTTCTTTGAAATCTCCTGTTAGTTTTTAAGCATAATTAAATTTAGAAGAAAGTAAACGTGGTGGTGTGTAAACCAGATGAGTTGTTGGTGCTAGATCAAAGTGCTGATGTTAGAAAATACCAAAATATTTTAGCTATGCCCAGTTTGTCAAGTGAATTCCTGTACACAGTTCGGTAGAATTTATTACTGAAGCAAAAATCTTAGGTGTGCCCTTTGACAAGGTTGCAAAATATGCAATAAATTATGATTTATTGTAAAACACTTTCCCAGATAAGAAAACAGATTAGCTGTAGTGTATATATATCAACTGTCATCCAACCCAAGTGTTCTTGAACCCTGCTTGATAGACCTTAGTTCACTAGTTCGGCTCATTTGTTTCCTGGTACATGGATTTCTCTGTTACTCCTTTTCTTTAAGGTAGGCCAAAAATTGTGAAATCTTGGCATTTCTGTTGATTAAATCATACCTGCAAAGTTATTTACTGTCAGGGTGATAATGAAGAAAAATATTTACAGTCCTGCCATCTAAGGAGAACTAGCTGATAACAAATGCAGAGTTTTCTGACAGACTTATTTCTTCCTGCATATTGACAAAGCAAAGAGTAAATAAAGGAAGAAAGGCACCGTCCAAGAACAAGTTGATTGCTTTTAGATGCAGTGTTTCACACTGGATTACCTTTGTAAATATTTGCCTAATTCTATTACCGCTAGTTATTTTATGGAAGGAAGCAGCCTTTATAAACACTTTATAAACAGTGGCAAACAGTAAATGAGATATGGTAGTGTGGCACAGCATTTGTGCCGGTACAGAACACCTATGACGAACTAAATGTACTGTTGGGATTTTTGGATTTATGGCTATATGCCATGTAGTCTCGTGTTAAAACAGTGTTACCACAGGGATTGGTGGCAAACCATCACAAAACCAGCCAGGTTCTTCTGGGTGATCTGTGGGATGTTCATGTTAATTGTCATATCTGATGCAATGATAGTTTAGTGAAAAAGTGTTTTCTGTACTCTTCTTAATCGTGATGTAAAACCTTCTCAATGTCTAGTAATAATCTAGTAAGAGTAATATGAACTTGCTGTGTTGCATCAGAAATTCTAGCATTTTTAAGGTAACAAGTATAAGAAGGATAAAGCTCAGCTGACTTATACTGAATGTTGTTCATTGCAAGACAGGAGTTTTTTTAAAAGACCCTTCCAGCTTCATGTAAAACTTGTGTTTTAAACAGTTGTACATACCTAGGCTCATATTCCAGATTATACAGCCAATATTATGTTAGAGCTTCTCCACAGAAAAATCATCTTTGGTGTCCTGTTGTTGTAGAACATATAAGAAAATCTGTGTTAAATTTTGAAAAGGACTACAGATACAAGAATCATTCCGAAAATGAAGATTTTGCAGTACATTAAGTCTAGACCATGTTTATGTTCATTTTGCTGGAGAAGATTATTCCAGAAATACCTTCCTCTTTCAAGTAGAAAACAAATGTTCAGGTTTGCTTATCTAGTAACAATTGATACCCAGTAAATAAAGATCTTGGTTCTTCTCTACATACTCAGTCCAGATTTAATGCATCATAGCATCTTCATTTCCTGAACCACTCCTTTATCTGCAGTAAAACAGATTTTCCTGTGTTCTGTAGCACCAGGGTGGCAGAGGCAGTATTTCCATGGTGGAGCCCTATCTGTCAGTGAGTATTAGTGTGTTGTAAGTTTGCTGGGAGTTTTTTGAGTTGGTTACGCTTTCTGTGAAATCATGGTTGGCAGAAGGTTGTGGTAGGTTTACAGGTTTGATATGATGTGTGGCTTCATGTCGTCACAGCATCAGCACGGTCATGACTGTGAATGAACCTGAGGAAAGGATACAGTGCAAGGTTGCGATGGCTAGAAAATTGAGTTCTCCATTGTCCTTATTGGAGATTTTAGTACTGGTGCAGTCTGGGGTTTAGAGAGCCAAGAGGGACCACCCAGTAGATGTGCACTTCAGAACAAGCTGAGTCAGTCTTTTTGTTTCTGGATGTTGAGTTTTTGCCGCTAGTGGGGGTTAAAATGCCTGTATTTCAGTATTTTCATTTTTACCTGAATTTCATATAAAGTACCTATCAGACTGGTACAAGTCATGCCTGAGTATCAGATGTAAAACCTAGGATTCAGAGTCAAAATCTAGGATTTAAAGCTTGTGTAAGTGGTGAAGCTCCATGTGGGAACTGAGGATTGAAATGTCATGTGGGGAGCCATTGGCACAGCTGGGAACCGAATTCAATCCTCCTGAATTTCTAAT